GGAAACACTGTCTCTATTTATATTAGAAAAATTGGGGGTTTAAAGACCTCCCCCGGTAATGCTAAAGCTCCGTAAATCTCGACATTGACATTTAGAAATCGCGAATCTTAGCAACATTGGATGCTAAAGAAAAACTTGGTCCACCTCCCCCCCCTGATAATGGGAAAGAACCAAACAGGCTTAAGAAATATAGGGAACCTTTTTCGGCGATTCGACATCTCGAAAAAGATATTAGCGGGTTTTCAAAGCTAGAAAAGCCGACTTTTTAGGTTTTCTTAGCTAGAAAACGCCCTAAAAACTCGTAAAATGGTCCGGCTGGATTTGGAGGAGCTTTCCGCCCGCGCGGAGAACCTTCCGAGCAGCTGGTTGCCCGCCCGCCTTTTTTAGGGCTAGAGGCCGGGGAGGAGCGGCGGGTAGAGCCGAGCCGACTCGCGCGCGTGCTGTGTGTGGGTTCTTTTGTGCTCGATCCCCCCCATGCAGCAGGTGAGGAGGACTGTCGAACGAACGGATCGACGCGCACCACCTATCTCTCGCCCTCTCTCCATTTCTCTCGCTCTATCGCCCCCCACCCTCCCCTCCCGCCACTTCGCGCCATGGCCCCGGGGCCAGCCACCCATCCCATCCACCCATCCCACCCCACCCAAACCACACGATCCCATACACCAACTATATCTCTCTCTCTTTCTCTCTCTCTCTCTCTCTCTCTCTCTCTCTCTCTCTCGCTCTCTCTCGCTCTCTCTACCGCACACCAAACATTGATCCATCGGCGCGAGCGCGCGAAGCGCCCCAAACACTTGAAGCCCCCCGGCGCCCGATCCTTGATCCCCGGAAATCAGCCTCGGGATTGCTCGATTTCTAAGCTTGAACGTTTTGATTTTCACGGATTATGCCGGAATTCGCGGATCTGTCTTCTGTTTCTCTAGTTTTCATTTTTTTAACCCTGAATTTCAAGTTTTGAAAGCTGAGTTTTGAAGCTTTGCGCGCTGCCTGAATTTTATCGCATCTCCCCCTTGGCTGTATCGTTTTTTAAATATCCGTTTTTAACGTCGACGACTTTGAACGGTCTCCTTTTTCTCTAATTTTCATCTTTTAACCCAAGTTTTCCAGTTTTGAAGGCTTTAGGCTATTTTCACATTCCTTAGCGCTGCCTTAATTTTATCGTATCTACACCGAAACTGCGCAAATATATATGGTTTCTAAATTTAATTTGTCTTAAATTTACTGGTTCCCAGCGCCGAAGACTTTTCCATATGTTTAGACGTTTTCCGCCGCCCATTTCATCTTGCCTGTTTTGGCCTCCTGTTTACCCCTAAATTTTCGTGGCGCCGCTTCCGAAATTTTGGCGTCAAAATAATATTTCGTGGCTTCAGAGAATTTCATGGCGCAACTTTGAAACAATACAACTTGCGGACTTTTCACGAATCGGATACTTTTTTAAGACCATTTCGATGCTTCGACGTTTCGGCCTTTCCGAAAAATCATTCCCCCAATTTCGTGGGTGTTTCAAATTTTTGGTGGCATTTTCGAAACTGCGAAATCACTATTTTCTTTGTTTTTCTTTTATTTAATTGTCAAAAAACCATGAAAATAGCGAGGAAAAATAATTTTTTGTGGTTCCGCGGAACACCAATTGACGCGTAGTCGTAATTTGTTGTCGAACGTCCTATCTCGTTCGATTTAATTTTTTTCGTCGTTTCCTCCTAAAAATTAGCTTTTTTTAGTTTTAATGATATTTTTAGTATTTTTATGTAATTCATAATACTGTTTTAATATATCGAAATGCTAAAATTATACTTATCTAGCTGGATTCCTCGTTTCCGGGTTGATTTTCCCCCTCAGACCCGTCATTCCTTCGATTTTCTGCTCTTTTCAGAACTGTGAATTTTTGCAGCTACTAATCGAGACGCAAAACTTTGCTGAGTAACTCCCTGCGTTGCCCTTTGCACAGGGCGTAGATACGCTATCTGACCCGTCGTTGACTTGACCGAGAGGATCCCGTGCCCTCCATTAACCCTTACTGCTTTTGTGATGGCTTTATGGGGGCAACTTCCTGCCCCCAATCTCCGCATTCCCATGCACCCCCGGGTATAATTGGCTTGGCACCAGATTTCTACTAGCGTGCTTACGATTTTTCTTGTGAATTGTGAAGGGAATTGGCGGCTGTTCGGTCTTTAGTTTTTCCTTTTTCCTCATAAAGCCTTTTTACTGGCGCATTTTTGGCCTCACCAGAAATACCTCAAATTGGCCCCTGCTAACAAGCAGCTTTTCCCCTCCCTCCACCATATTGTCGACGATGGTCGATTCGGCGGCCGCGGACGCGGCGATTTCGGTCGTAATTATTCACTCTTTGTGATGTCTACGCCCGGCCGCGGGGCGCCCTCCTCGGACCACCTTCTTTAAAATGATCGATCGGCTCCACGGAGAGCTTCGGGCTTTATTTCAATAACCGATTTTCGACTGTTTCACACATTTTGGCTGGGAGAACCCGTTTCTGAATTGACAGGAGCCATCGCTTTTTACCAGCTGTTTGCCGAATATGTGGCACTCTTGTTTTTGAGTTTTTCAAAACAAAAGAAAGAAACAAAAATTAGTAAATAACTAATTTTGCGGGTTGCCGAATTTTGTAGATTTTTTGGCTAGACGTGAGTTGTCTTAGGATTAGTGAAACGCTGATAAGATTCGTTTTCAGGCACTCTTAGAATTCCCCGCATTCCGGTCAAAGAATCCTTTCTAATTAGTTTTTTTATGTCGGAAATTACGCCTTTGTATCGTTTTTGTGTATCTTCCAGGTATCTATAATGTTTTACCAGTTGCGGTTTGCCCAATTTTGAGCAGATTTTTGCGCTTAAGTTTTTCAATTTCTTTAGGTTAGCTCGAGCCGTGAAAAAATCGCCTTTCTGACAGCAGTGCCTTTGAAATTTTCTTTTTAATTGCTTTGTAGGAAGAAGCTTTAGGCACTTTATCACGAGAATTTCATTTATTTTTCGCGCACATGCTGCTTGATCATTCGAAAACCGAAAACCACCACAATAACCTATTAATTTTGGCAACTCTCCCTCGGCAATTTCGTCAAGATAATCCCTTTCAGGAGTTTACTTCCATTTTTTTCAACAAACTCATCACCAAAGGCATAACCCGTTTTGACAGTAGATGACGGATAAGATGGCTATCTTTATAGCCTTCTATAAGAGCGTCAAGTGGTCCAAACTTTAGATTAGCTCATCATCAATTGCGAGGAGCCCGAACCCCGCACTAAAATGCTGCAGCCATTTTTCGGCGGTGCGTCAGGCTGGCTGGCCGGGGCACGCTTCCATACCTTCTTCTCCTCCTTATCGGGGCCGCCCGCCCGCGCCTTCTTCGATGTGCAAATACGGATTCGCTGATCTCATCGATTGTCCCCGGGGAAGCAGCGCAGCGAATTCCGGCGCGATTTATGGTTCAGCTACTTTTAAATGGCTCCTTGGCTCTGAATCGAAGCTCTAATTTTGTTTTTAGGGTTTTGGAATCGTCATTTGCTTCAAATCAAGCCATATGGTTCTTGTTTTTCAACTTTATGGCCACTATTTCCCAAATTCAAGGCTGCATCTAGCTATTTTCAAGCTATTTTAGAAAGCGGAAATGCGTTGTTAAACGCGTTTACTTTTTTTTGCGAAAGAACAGGCTTGAAAAAAGACTATGGCTTCTTGCTTTTTACTTTTTAACCTAATCTTCTAATTCGATGCATTATATCACTTGTTTAACGTTTATTTAGGTGACAGAATCACTTGGTTGTTTAGCTAGTTTTCCGTCGAGTAATCTAGCTAAGCTTTGAAACTGTATATTTGCTGACGAAGCTAACTCTACGATAAAACCTGATTTTTAAGCGTATTTAGGCACCATTGACGATCGCCTATTATCTTTCCGTTTGACCCTGTAGCTGACGTCAGCTGACGCAATTTTTAGACTGAGGAAGCAAAGTCGACTATCAGAGTCAAAACTATAGAAATAATGCGTGCTCTTCCATGCCCAAACTTCTTCGTCTCATCACCCCGCTCGCTGATGCCGGAATAATTCGCGTCAGCCCCTATCAGAGTTGCATCGATTCGGCCGGGGCAGGGAAAAGCACCTCCCGACCACGGGTTCAGCGGCCGCCGGAATTCGGAAGCGATTTACGGTCACGCTACCTGCGCTCGCGGTCGAGAAGACACCCACCAAGCGGTCGCCCCGAGGCCTTGGCTCGCCCACCATGTGCACTTTCCCCCTCGCCCGGCGTCCGCGCACTGCAGACCCACTTTCGGCGCGCCCTGAGCGGAGTCATCTAAAGAGGATCCCGAAATGGTGCGCCTCAATTATAGCATTGGCTCACGTGCCCGGAGTTTTAGCAGCTAGGAGAATATAGACTTCTTTCCGCTAAGGTTTTTAAACCGACTTTTATTGGCTGGGATTTCGTGCCGAAAACTGACTCTGTAAGATTGTATTCTGTTTTAGTCTTTTTGTAACGCCGCTCAGCGCCGCGTGAAGCTCGTTTTCGGGCGCTTTTTGAAGAAACTGCGCTAGAAAAAGAAATTAAATTAGTTTTCTCAAGCTTGCTAGCAGCTTTTTCATGGAAATCGATAATTGGTGTCGTCTCCCTCTTTGCTTGTACAATCTAACGAGTTTTACGTTATGACAAATGTTTTTACGGTATACAAGCGTGAACGTAATAAAAAACGAAAAATAAACTAGACAAGATTTAGTATTTTTACGAACAGCTCTTTTTCCTGTAAATCTTTTCTTTTCTTACTCTTTTTCCTCTTTCTGTCTCCTTCTTGCTCATACACGCTCATACTCATTAGAGCATTTTAAGGCGTATAAGATAGAGTAGAGACGATTTCGTGTTCTTACGAGCTGAATTATTTTGCTTTCAAAACCACTTTGTTTCATGTCCTCTTGTTCAATTTCTCGTTGATTTTCTAATCTTCATTTACTCATCAATTTTCAGGCAGTCTCGCTCGAACTGAGACGCTTTTCTAATTGGGGCGATGGACCCGGGTGGCGGTGCCCTTGTGCAGCAGCTGCTCGACCCGCGCTCCCCCCTCAACATCGAGGGACTATTAGTGGGGCTTTTTCAGTCAATTTTTGAGGCTTCAACGTTTTTAGGATGCTGTCACGGCTCTCGTCAACGACTGCAATTACCCGGTGCTGCGCAAAATCAAGACAATCGACCAATTTGTGAAGAAATGTGAGTTTTCTGGGCCTAAATGGCTACTTTTTGCGACTTTGCTCATTTTCAAAACAGCTAAAAATAAAAAGAGATTCGGCGTTTTCATCTTAAAAACCTGGATAAAATAAGATAAATTAATTTCCAGTGAATTTGATCTTTTTCGCGTGGGTTTATGTCGTCGTCTCTTTAGTTCTAAAGCCATAGAATGTATGCATGAGCGGCTTTGGACTAGAATTTTTCATGTGTGTTTTTCAGATGAGGGCCACGTCCGCCGAATCTCCGAGATGCGCCTCAAGGGCACGGATTTCGAGCTGATCAAGGTTTTGACGCTGTATTTTCGTAAATATGATTTTTTAGGTGATTGGCCGCGGCGCGTTCGGAGAGGTGCAGCTCGTCCGGCAGACGTCGACACGCCAAGTCTACGCGATGAAGCTGCTCAACAAGGACGATATGGTAACGTTTAGCTCAAGCTATAAAAACTATGCTGTTTGTGTCTCCATCTTAAAATTAGTAAAAAATCGACGGCCGGCTTTGGAAATATTTCTCACGATAATTTGTGTCTAGAATTTTTACGTTGGCTATGATTTTAAGCCTATTCGTATCCTGTTAAACACTAAACACAATCAAGTTAAAAAGAACAAAAGGAAAGAGTGAAAAATCTTCTAAATCCCAAATTCCAGATAAAACGCTCGGATTCGGCCTTTTTCTGGGAAGAGCGTGACATCATGGCCCACGCTGAGTCCGACTGGATAGTTCGGCTTCACTATGCTTTCCAGGTAATTTTTGTTAGCTTTTCTCCCAAATAGCAAAATTTCAGGACGCCCGCTACCTCTACATGGTGATGGAGTACATGCCTGGCGGCGATCTCGTCAACCTCATCACAACGTAAAAAATTTTGGCGGTCCTCAAATCTCTTTTTAGCTACGAGGTCTCCGAGAAATGGGCTCGCTTCTACATTGCCGAGCTCGTCGAAGCGCTGGCCGCCCTCCACTCGATGGGATACATTCATCGGGACGTGAAGCCGGACAACATGCTGATCGCCCGGAATGGTCATATCAAGGTTTGTTGGCTACTATATTGTCTTAAAAGCATTTAATAAAAATTCTAGTTTATTATTTGTGCCAAAAATCGTCAACTATATGATTGCGAGTTGCTAATTTTGTTGAAAAACGCGCTCAAAAATTATTTTAATTTGTGTAGTTCACGCTAATTCATTCAGAAACAGTTCTAATTGATTAGTTTAGCTCAAAAGAAGCTTTATTTTTTAGTTATTTCACTAAAGAAAAAGTCTAATTTGCTAATTTTTTCGAAAATCCTTCAATTAATAATGCTACGCCTTAATTTTGTCGAAGATCGCTAAAAAATGGTTTTTCGCCACTTCAAAGTAGAAATTAATACCCTTTCTTGCAGCTCGCCGACTTCGGCACGTGCGTGAAGATGAACGCTAACGGGCGTGTGCAGTGCAGTACGGCAGTCGGGACGCCCGACTACATTGCCCCCGAAGTTCTCTGCAATCAGGGCCGCGAAGCCGAATTTGGTGTCGAAGTGGATTGGTGGTACGTTTCGATCCTTTAGCTGTTTTGACGTGTTTCTAGGTCTGTCGGCGTGTTCCTCTACGAACTGTTCGTCGGCGAGACGCCCTTCTACGCCGACTCCATCGGCAACACCTACTCAAACATCATGAACTTTTCGACGACGCTCTCCTTTCCGGACGATACACCGATCAGCTCAACGGCAAAGGTAAATTTAAAATTTTTCTTTTATTTTAAATTTTGACAATTCTATAAATAGATAATTTTAGCCCATCAGTTTGGCCGATATTCACTAAAAAAATAATTATGTTTTCTTATTTTTGGCGATAAATCTGAGGTTTTGCTATGCAAATCGATTAATTAAATAAATGCTTTTATTTATATTGTATTTATTTGGTTTTCTAATTAATTTTTGTATTTTAGAACCTGATCCGAGCCTTCCTCTCCCGAGCGGACCAGCGTTTGGGGCGTGATGGGGCCGGCTCGATTCGGAAGCATCCCTTCTTCCAGAATGCCGAATGGACGTTTGAAACTCTACGTGATGGTGCGTTTAATTATTTTAATTTAATTATAATTTTTACTGATATTAATTTATTATTACGCTGTTGAAAATAAATAAATATTTGGACATATTTATGTAATTCCGATGTAATCTACGTCTTTTCAGCCCAGCCTCCAATCGTCCCCGAACTTCGCGGCGACGACGACACCACAAATTTCCAAGAGGTCGAGGCCGACAACGATCAGGGCAACGACTTCCAGGTTTATTGAAAATACTTTTTTAAAGTAGTTTTAGATTCCGCGTGCCTTCACCGGCAACCAGCTGCCCTTCGTCGGCTTCACCTACACCAGTGAATTGGGGTAATTTTTCATTATTTCGACAATTTTTTAAAATTTCTTTTTAGCCCCCTTCGCCAATTTGCCGACGCCCTGAAGGACAAGAACGCGAACCCGGTGCAGGTTCAACAGCAGACCGCACAAATTCGGGTAAGCCTTGCAAAAAGTGGTTTTATTATCATCATATCAAAATAATATCAAAATTATAGTGGCTTTCTTTGATTGATATTTTGTAATTTTTAGTTTTGTGTTAAAATTGATTTTTTTTATAAAAATAGGATTTCAGCCTGACCCGGCGCTCACTGATGAGTTGCGGAGGACGAAGGACGAGCTGGAGCGGACGAGGCGTGAGGTAAAGCTATTTTTCTGGCTATGCTACCTTTTTATACTTTTTTGCGCCTTTTTATCAAAATTTTCCCACAATTATGACCGTCATTTCAGATTCTCGAGCGCAGCGCCGACCTTGAGCACCAGCAACTCGTGCTCGAAAGGGCCAAGCAGCGCGGAAATGAGATAGAATCGCATGCTAACAAGTAAATCCTTTGTTTTTGGGTTTTTATCAGTTTTTAGGCTGACTGAGCGGGTGCACGAGCTGGAGCGTGAGTGCGACGATCTCAAGGTTCGACAGCGCGGCCAAGGGGATCTCGAGGAGCGGGTACGACGTCTCGACACCGAGCTGAACGAGCATCGCCTCATGGCTGGCGCACTGGAGGCCAAGTTGGCGAAGGTAATAATTTCATTTTAATCGGGTTTTTGAAAAACAGAGCCTTTGGTATTTCTTATTTATCTTGTCGGCGTTGTTGTTCTTCTCGAGTGTGTTGATCTGCTACTGATGCAGTAGTCAATTTCATAGAGGGGGTTCCGGCGTTCAAGCAGTTGCTGATCAAAAGCCGTAGGAATACGCCTAGCGTGAAAAAGATCAGGCTGAATTTTTTGTATCCCATCTGTGCAATTTAAACCTATACGGGTCGATTTTGTTGATCAGCTGCTAGGTTCGACAAGGGAAATTTGATAGAGGGGGATTCCCGTTTTGAGAGCTGTAGTTCGTCGAGAAGCCGTCAAGTCGAAGCAGTTCAACCCATTAACTGCACTTCACCAATGCGGACAAAAAGTCTGGCATTCTTTCGACGTGTCCAACAAAATCAAGAATCCCTCAAGTTGGAGAAGTCCAACCGTCAACGGTACTTGGCAAAATCAACTCGTGCAAAAATTGGTGAGAAATCGCGTGTGGGGAAGAAAATGCGAAAAAGCATTTATTCGGCCAAAACGATCAACAACAAATCATGGGTTGTACTCGATGGGGAGGTTCTTGCGGCGGACCATGCCGTCTCCCTGGAACCACTCGCGGCGGAACTGCTTGGCGGCACCGTCGGGGGTGTTCGTCCACTCAATCGTCACACGGTCGTTGTTCGTGTCCTCAGCACCGAACTGGAACGAGTCGCACGACACGGCCACCTGGAAAAGTAGCGATAGAGCGAGAAAGCATCAAAATCGAGCAGTTCACGCTCGCCAAAGAAGATACGACAAGCTCAAGCAGTGCAAAGCACCCACCAGAACCTGCTCCTTGGGGTCGAGGACTCCGCAGGCCGGGTCAACACCAAGTCGCTTCATGTTGGTGGTCTTGAAGGCCCATCCGATGCGACGTCCTCCAGTGTTGATCACCTTGATGTGGTAGGTGTGCTTGTCATCGTACGGGGCGTTGAACACGATCTTCGTGCCGGGCTGCGTGGTGATGTCGCCGGGAGCGATCGACTGGGCCATCTTCTTGTTGTGGTTGAAGTTTTTGGGTACCTATGTCTTCCAGGGGCTCTTTATATACCTGGGAACGCTTGTTAATCGAGTGATGTTGAGCGCCAAAAGCCCCGGGTTGAAAGCGTTCTATAGTTAATCAGGGTTTTATGCGAAGTTAACATGTGACGACAATTTACATGAATTTTTTGCAGGCCAAAGAAGAGGAGAACGCGGCCAAGATGCGGGAGCGGCAGATCGCCCAAGAGCTCGACTTGGAGAAGGAATCGGCGGTGAGGAAGGCTGGCAGGATAAAGGTATGTAAAACTGTAAATTGGTGTTTTCGGAAAGCACGGGCGTTATTTTTTCCTGATTTTCCGTTGCCTTTTTCCTAATAAAAGCCTAGTACGAATGCAATATTAAGCATCTTGAATTTTTCTTGGAAATTTTACAAAAAAAAAGCTGTAAAAATGCTTTCAAATTTTAAATTATTCAAAAATTGGGGTTTTTTACTAAAAAATGTGTTTACGTTTAAAAATAGTCAAAAACTATGTAAAAACGACTTTTATTTATGTTAGCAACAAGCTCCATAAAATTGATTTTTAAACTCAATACTTTTTAGGAGCTCGAGGAGAAGACGCACACTCTGGCCGCCCGCATCAGCGAGCAGGCCGGCAAAGAGGAGGAGCTGACCCGACGGCTGGCCAAGGCTCTCGACGAGTGCAAAGAGAACGGCACCTCTTTCCACGACACGACCATGGCCCGCGAGGCCGAGCTGCACATGAAGCTCGAGACGGCGCGCAAACAGCTCGAGGACGCCCGCCACGATCTCGACAAGGAGCAACGACTGCACTCGGCCACCCAGAGCGAGCTCGACAACAAGGCCAAGTCGCTGGCCGGGTTGCGGTTGAATGAGGAGTTTTTGAAGGAGGTACGGATTTACCAGATTCATTTTATTTCGATTTTAAGGAGCTCGCCCGGCTGAACGAAGAACACGCGCGGACGGTGCATGCCCTGCAGAACACCATCAGCGAGAAGACCGTCTACCAGAAGGAGGTCGACGAGTTGTCCGTCCAAGCTCGAGCTGATCAACAAATGATTGTGAGTTTTTAAGACTTTCTCTCTCTCTCTCTCTCTCTCTCTCTCTCTCTCGACTCTCTCTGGATTTTTCTATGCTGTGCGTATCCGCTTCATGCCCGTTTTTCAGGACTGCTACAGCAAAGAAATTGCCACCATCCACAAGGAGCTCGACGAGACGCGAGGCCGACTGCAAAACGCATCCGCGTACGCCACCGAAAACGACGAAGTTCGGCGCGAGCTGGACAGCGAACGCCTCGCCCGCCGCATCGCCGAGGCCAACCTCTCCGAGGTGGACAAGGAACGGACGATGCTGAAGGAGGAGGTGCGGCAGTTGGTCCATCGAAACGACAAGGATCTGATCGCCAAGGAGAACGCGATCGCCCATCTCACCGAAGAGCTCAATCAAGCCAAACGCTCGCTCATCGACATTGACGACATCCGCGAGCGGAACGGCCAGACCGATTCGAAGATCAATAAGGTATCAAAATTTTGCGATATAACAGTAATTTGTGTATTTAGATTCACGAGCTCGAGGCTGAGTTGCAAAAGGTGATGAAGGAGCGACAGCTGGCCGACTCGATGAAGAAATCAGTATAGATAGTTTCCGTAAATTTTAACCGAATTTTTAGGCAATCGCCAAGCTCGAGCAGGTGATGAGTCTGCGCGTGCCGGAGAAGCCGCAGAAGGCCGGCAACGACACGGCAAGGAAGCTGCGGATAAAGGAGAAGGAGATGGTTCGTGTTTTTAATGATTTTCTTTTTATTTCGAAAGTATGTAGAAATCGCGCAAAACTATATAAATCTATATAAACTTAGTTAATAGATTGAAAAGAGCTTTTTCCCGTTGATCAATTTTTTTACTTGCAGATGAACGCACAACAACAAATCAGCGAGCTCAAGTCAAAGCTGAAGGACGCGCACGACGAGAAGGACCGGCTGGTCGCCACGTTCAACGAGCAGATCCAGACGGAGGAATCGAGGGTAAAATTTTATTTATTTTTCCATTTTTATACGATAAAAGGGTTCTAGAAGCTAAATTTTTCTTTTTAGGCCAATCATCTCGAGAGCAAGATCAAGGACCTGCTCGAAGAGCGCGAACATCGCCGTGATGTTGATAGCAGGTAAATTCGGAGCTTCCGCTTCTAATACCAAAGCTCAGATCGATCGACTCTCGCGAGGGCATCCCCCCATCACTGATGAAGGGCGAGAACGTCGAGGGCTTCGTGCACGTCCGGCTGAAGGGCAAGAAGGGCTCCAGAAAAGTAAGGCGGCTTTGGTAGACAGCTATATTTCTCTTTTTAGGCCGCCAAGATTCCATGGGAATCGATGTACTGCCAGCTGACGCCGACCGCCTTCATCCTGTTCGCCGAGTCGAAGATGGGCGGATTGGAGGCCCCGCAGACGTACATTGAAGTCACGTAAGTATTTTTTGACTCGTTTAATTCATCAAAATCTTATTTTTTCTTCAAAACCTACTTTTTAGTGATTTTTTTAGTAGAAAAGCTTTTTGTATTGCTCTACTTTTAAGCGCTGTTTCGCCGTAATTAGTATTTGATTTTTTGTAAGTTTTTACAGGTCTTAATTGGCCTTTTTTGCTTAAGCATTTGTATTCTATTTTTTTTCAGCCGTCTCTGCTACGCTCGTCTCGTCACCGCGGCCGACGTTCGATTCGCACAGCCCGAGTCGTTGCCAAAAATTTTCCACGTACGTACACGTGTTTCTGCACATCTAAACCTTATATTTTAGATTATGTACGACGGAGCGGATGGGAACAGCCTCGCCAACTCTCGTCACTCATCGATGTCGGATCTGAATGCTACGTTGATTAGTCAGGCGGTGGGTGCTTTTTTAATTGTTGAGAGGCTTGGTTTAATAAATTCCATTAGTGATTTGCGGCTAAATTATTAATTTTATGCTTTTTTTCAGGATTCCGAGGGCAACGTCTCGATGCGCTCGTCAAGCTCGGCACACAGGCACGACTTCCAGGTGAGGAAGGGATACTTTTTCGCTCTACTTGGCTATCTATCGCTTTCTCTCTCTCTCTCACTCACTCTCGCTTTCTCAATCTAGCTCGACCGCTTTCTATCTTTAATAAACTTTCTTTTCCAGGAGCTCTCCTTCCACATGACGGCCTACTGCGACTTCTGCAACAAGAAGCTCTCCGACCTCATCCGCCCCCCACCGGCGCTGGAGTGCAAGAGTAAGCTTTTCCTTTTTCTCAAAAACCCTGCTTAGATTGTCGCTACAAGATCCACAAGGAGCACCTCCACAACGCCGACTTCCCCTTGTGCAAGTGTACGTTTTTTTAGATTTCATCAGAATTTAAATTAACCTTTTATTATGGTTTTTTGGAAAATTCGGATTTTCCATTTTCAGCAAAGAACGGTGTGATGTGCGAGCTGTTGCTGATGGCCGTCGACAAGCAGGAAGCCATTGGTTGGGTCAAGGCCCTGCGAGAGACCATTGACAGGGTAATTTCGAATTTAAATGATTTTAAATTATATCGGGTTCTAAAATTAAATTGCTTTTTCAGAACACACATCGCCGCGGGGTCGCCCGGAATCGCACGCTGCCGACGAGCCACTCACGCCAGGGCAGCGCCAACCATTAGCCAAAGTACAGCCCCTATCTTCCTCGAATGCTTTGTGATTGCCATTGCCCGTGTTGTTGTACATTTGATTAGCTCTCAGGTGACCCTTCCGTCCTCGTCGCGTTGTGTGTGGCCGGGCTGGTGGGGCTTGTTTTTGCCTGTAGCGAACTAGGAGACGCTCAAAATTGGCCGAAATATAGAGCAGCCGACGCTGATGTTTTATTGGTTTTTAAAATGGCTATAAGCTTTGAAATTTGGTGCTTTTCGCGCTGAAAAGTCAGACAAAAACATCAAAATCTCAAATTTCTGAACTTTTCGCTTGCATATCTCGACTTTTTAGAGAGCACCTGTAGCAAATTTTAGAAGCAAAAAATTGATCAGCAAGCTCGACTCTTTATTTTTTCAATTTTTAGCCAGATCCTAGGACCGGCTT